GAGGAAGCTGCTGCCTGTAAAGAAACTTGCTCAGCACAGCCCTGGGGGAGAACCCTCCTGCCCTCGGAGTTTCACTTACGAAAAAAAAAAGAGATTATTGGGCTTTATGCAGAGCACAGGAAGTTCAGAGGGGGTTCACCTCAAAGCACGTGAGTTGGGCTCTGGCAGCTGCCACCAGGGCAGTCTGGTTTTCCCACGCTGGAGCTGGGGGTTCACTGCATGAAGCAAATGGAGCCTGGGGAAGGAGAAACTCTGTTTTTTCTGTGTCCAGGCGTTCTGTGCTCGTGGTGACGTCCAGCTGCCGGGCTTTGCAGGGCACCCAAACCTTTCCCAAGTGGGCTGAGCTGAGCTGTGACCCACAGATGACTGCACAGCCTCTTCCAACCCCAAATATCTGCTGCAGGGTCTTGACCCTCGGATGGGCACGTGGGCTGGTGTCCCTTCTCTTCCCAGACATCATGTGCCAAGCAGTGGGAAGCAGGGTGAGTGGTCTGACACAGTGATGGAGATCCCTTCCCCACTCCCAAAAAATAGATCTCTGTGTGCTTTTGGAGCTGCAGAGCCCCTTCCCAGCTCTTATCCTTGCTTTGGGGGTCAGTCCCCTTAGCCAGGGGTGCCGGGTATTCCAGCAAAATTCCCTGAGTGCCTGATGGGATTTTTCCCAACCAGTGCCTGCCTGGGGGTGTCAGCCCTATGTCCACAGTGGGATGGGGACAACACCTGGGAAAATTCCTCCTCCCACAGCCCTTTCCAGGCAGTAGAGGAGTGCTGAGCTGGCTGCCTGGAAAGGGCTCTGTCAGCTCTGGAGATCCAGGGAAACCCTGCAATTCCTGTTTTTCACCCAGCCCTGCTATTTCACTTTTCATTTGGAGGGAAGGGAATGTCCTTCCCCAGATGTGCTGCTCATAGGAGGTGACAATGATCAGTGTGGTGGCCAGGCTCTGCTCTCAGTCCTTCATGGCAACTTTTCCATTGGCAATAGAGCCAGAATCCCAGTTTGGCCTCAAATCCTAAAAGCCAGGGACTAGGGAAGGCTGGGGTGGCTCAGAACCTTTGGCACCACCAAGAACTGGGATAAATTATTTCACATCAATCCTCTTTTTTCCCCTCCAAGGCTCAGAGACTTAAAAAAAATAATATTTTCCCACCAAGAAGGAGCTGCTGGTTGATATAAGGGAAGAGGGAAGGTCTAATCCCAAATCTAATCAGGAAAAGCTGCTTTAGCACCAGATTTGGTCCCTGCTGGCAAAGCACCCCGAGTCCCTGCTACCAATGGCTCTGCCCTGTGCAGGGTGTCCCTGCTCACCCCTGGAGCAGCAGATGGAGGATGGAGGATCCCTCACACATGGGTTTCACTTTGTTTTACAATAAGAGGGAAGAGAAACTCGGTGGGAACAGGCGTGGGCTGCTGTGGGGAAACGAGGGCCGACCGGAACAACCTCCCCCCGGCTTTTCCTTGGGGATGCCCTTGGCAAAGCTGAGCCTCCCTCGGGGCTGGCAAGCATGGGTTTGCTTTAAAGAGGTAAAAAACCCATCTCTTTCAGGCTGATCACCTTCCCTGGCTGTGGTGCAAAGCAACGGGAGCATCCTCAGGTGGGCTGGGAACAGGAGGCACACGCAGGAGTTTGGGTTCCCACGTCCTAAAACTTCCCATCTGAACCTGCACAGGGCTTAACTCTCATAAGTTCATTAATGCTTCTCCTTTGAAGGATGAAATAAGAAAAGTAAAACACTGGTTTTCATGGATTCATGGAAACATGGAATGGTTTGGGTCAAAAGGGACCTGAAGATCGTTTCGTTCCACCCCCTGCCATGGGCAGGGACACCTTCCACTAGCCCAGGGTGCTCCAGGCCCCATCCAACCTGGCCTTGGACACTTCCAGGGATCCAGGGGCAGGCACAGCTTCTGGTTTCCCAGGCTCCCAGTCCCTGGCAGTGCCCAGGGAGATGAGCTCAGCACGGCACTGGGAGCTGCTGGGCTGGGGGAGGCACAAAAAAGGGAGAAAACCAAAAAAGGGGAACCCAAACCACAAGGCTTCCCTGAGAGGAAGCAGCTGCCTCATAAAGCTCATCCCTGTTCCCAGGGGCTGATGTAATTAATGTCAGCAGGATGTTCTCTCATCTCATGAGAATGATTTTTTTTTTTTTTTTTTAATATTACTGCAGCATTTCGTGCTTTTCCAGCACAGGTGAATTTAGGACCAACAGACAGACTCAAAAGCATGAAGAAATGTTATGGGATGAGACCAGCTGGAGGCAGGTAAGGAAAAGCAAGCAGAATTTCCCCTGGATGGCCAGGATTGACTGAGGAAGGGGAGTGTGACTGGGACAGGACACACCAAGGAGCAGGTCCTGTCCTGCCCAGCTCAGGGAGCACGAAAAAATCAATGGGGTAAGAGCTGAAAACCCACAAGCTCCAAAATTGTTTCCAAACTGCACAAAACTCTGTGCCTGTCCCAAAATGTCCCTTCCAGAGCCTAAAGGGGCTCCAGGAGAGCTGGAGAGGGACCTGGGATAGGGGATGGAGGGATTGGACAAGGGGCAACGGCTTCCCACTACCAGAGGACAAGGTTAGATGGGATATTGGGAAGGAATTCTTGGCTGGGAGGCTGGGGAGGTTTCCCAGAGAAGCTGTGGCTGCCCCTGGATCCTTGGAAGTGTCCAAGGCCAGGTTGGACAGGGCTTGAAGCAACCTGGGCTGGTGGAAGGTGTCCCTGCCCATGGCAAGGGGTGGAACAGGATGAGCTTTCAGGTCCCTCCAACCCAAACCTGTTTGTGATTCCATGATCCCTGCAGGTGACATTTTCCTGCCCCAGCCCATCCAGCCCTGAGCTTTCCTTGACTTTCCAATCATTTGAACATTTTGTCCAA